CTCTCCTTCTCTTTTCTTATTCTCTCTCTTCCTTTCTTTTTATTTGCTTCTCCTTTCTTTCTCTGCGTGTTTCCTTCTCTTTTTGTGTGTTTCATCAAATAATATGATGTCCCATTATATAGGTGTGAAGAAAGCATAATATCATTGACATTTTGGTTTGTTAGGAAGAATAAAAATATGGTAGATGAGGTGGTTGAGAAGAATAAGCATCAATTTGTTGGGAAGCATCAATTTGTTGGGAAGAATAAGAATAAGCATCAATTTGTTGATCTACTCACAATAAAAATTGTGTCCCAATTTACACTCAATAACAACAATTAAAAGAAATAAAAATATTATATATATTTTTATTTTTAGTGCTCAATTCTCGATTCCGTTTCAGTTCGCCGGAGCTCGTAAATCTGGTGTGCTACAGATTTAGAGACGTTTGCCGTTGTATCTTTGGGGAAGTTACGCCTGAACCGTTAGCTGCCACACGGGGCGTATTCTTCTTGCGGAAAGAGCTTTACTCGCCTCGGCTAAAATCTTTCCGTTTTAATTTTTAATTTATTTTTCGGTTGTAATTTATTTTTCAGTTCGATTGTAATTTTCTATTTTATAGATTATTTATAAGAACTGAAAAATACATATCAGTTCGTAGGATTCCCATGTAATATTTATACCCGGTTGATAACAGGTACCAATATAAATAACACAGTTTATATGACCAAACAACTCATAATGTCATGTTCTAACTAACAATTATTCAAATAAATGACTAACCTAGGCAAATAAAGTGCATTTGTTACGTGGAATATGTCACCATGTTTAAGGGAGATTATTCCCATTTATTTTAGATTAAAAGTATTCTTTGTAAGGTTTTCAATAAGCACCACACAATTAAAAGGCTCAATCAATCAATACAAACAAATCCCTTATCATAGATATTAAACTATGAAGAAAGGGAACTTTGCTCCTACTCATGTATAATATCATATACTCAATAGCAGTAAATAAGAAAAATAAATAAATAAATAATCGAATTTCTTGCATTCTCCAATTGTGCTGGTTGTTTGTTAATCGAAGTTCCACATTAATTAGACACTGGTTGTTTCATAAGACTGAAAACGAAATATTGAGAAATCCGATTGAAATTGAACAATACCGTACTAATGGACCTTGTTGTAGATTGTGAAAAATCCAATCGAAAAGGAACAATATCGTGTTGTCAACCATGAAGTTCAACTGTTAACCCATTATCACTAGTTTGGGCTCTAAATTATGGGACTTGGAAAGCTTCCCTATATGTTCATCAGTCCAGTTAAGGAAAAAAAAAAATGGCTTTGGCCCAATTTAAAATGGGAGAAATGTGACCAAATTTATAGCTTTGTCACTTTGTGAATGTGTTCTCATTGATAATATGAATTTAAAGAATTTACTCTAAGTTATGAGAACTAAATTACTTTGTTGGATTCGTTTGCTAACTGATATAAAGTCATTTGTTGACTTACTGATTTCAATATTATAATGATAAGAGTAATAGATATTTGTTATGTGTATTTTCTATAACTTAATGTGTAAAAATTCTAGCAACGTTGTGTTGGATATATATTATTTTGCTACAAGTTGAATCATGCTATAGTAATAACTGATTTGGTAGTTAAATGGGGAAAATATGCATCTTATACCTTGTGCATATACATTTTTTATGAAAAAAATAAATGTAATTAAGATCACTAGGAATACTAACAAAGTTAGTTTCAAAATATTTTTAACTTTTAACTTATATTGAAGTTCTGCACTAGTTGAGTCGAGCTCGAGCTCTTAACATTTAAACTCGAGCTCGGATTTTTATTAGTTAAAATATGATTATTAGTTAATTAATATAAATTTAACAAATTATTAACATAATTAATCTAAATAAATAATGAAAATAATATAATTTAGCATTAATGAAATAACCCCTATTCATACACATGTAGATGTCTCTAAATCATTTATTTTGGTCAATTGAAAAATGATTCGTAAGACTTGGGTAATGCTAAAATAATATAATTTAGCATTAATGAGATAACCCCTGTTCATACACATGTAGATGTCTCTAAATCATTTATTTGGTCAATTGAAAAATGATTCGTAAGACTTGGGTAATTGCCAATAACTTAAATTATTGTTTAGATTTGAAATATAAACTTGGGTTTCTACAACTTGATTAAATAGGTATTTTTTAATTGAACAGAGGGTGCCAAATATCCTTCTGTGGCTCTAATTCAGATATGTACATTAGTATAGCCGAACCAAGTTTGAATTCAATTCTTAAAAACTTGAGGTTTATAGAAAATTATGTAAAAGTTCTTGTTTCTCAATTTTAAAAAGACGAACAAGATCGAACTGAGCTCAACTGTTTATTAAATAATAAATATGATAAGTTGAACTGACAAACGAGTTGTTTCATTTAAGAGATCTGCTCTAATAATATCCTAATGATTATTGATTAAAGTAGAGGACCATCAAACAATGTTATAGTATCTTTTAATAATGATTATTGATTAAAGCAAAGGACCATCAAATAATGTAGCGTTACCATATGGTCCAAATCATTGAATATATGAATTGAGATACCATTTATGCCATTTCGCTTCATTTTTGTCAAATTATTTGGTCTTGAATTAGTCGATTTTTTTTTTCATATATACATTGATATGTACTAAAAAATATCACACAGTAAAAAAATAAAATAAACAAAAATATGACATTTTATAATAATATATTTATTTTATTTCAAATAATATGACAGTGTTATACGATTACTCTATATCAAACAAGAATTTTTATTGCCAAATCATATATTATTTAGTTTTTTTTTTCTTTTCTAAATAATCACTTCCCACTCAATTACCTTAAAGGCAATGTAAAGTTTTCACATTTTTTTTTGTTTTTGTTTTTTATCAAACAATAATTATATTAAAACTCTAAAAAAGAGTACACTTGAGATGTCAAATGACATCACTAGAACTAGAACAAACCTTGGATTCTCCTTTCTATTGTAATTACACAATCAACTAAAGGGAGTAACAAAAACATCCGAAACACTAATGTAGAAGGAGACCAAAAAAACTCCATAAAGTATACTAACAAACCAGACACAACTGGATTGAAAACTAAAAACTAAAGAAAATAATAAAATACTACAACACACACATACACTAACAATAGAATATAACATTCCATTCATCTCATGAGCACGCTGCTACAACTATCCGATCTTGCACACGGGCCAAACCCCATATCGAAATAAACTAAAAGAGAGCAGCAAATCAAAGGCGCCATAACCAAAAACTGCAAATTTACTAAAGCACATAATTAGATATGGCGAGAAGACAAGTCTCAACCTATATCTGAGCTTCTGCACCCTTCAGTCTGAAGAGAGGCAGACGCAAAAGAGCGAAAACAACAATTGACAGTGGCTAGACGAGAGGCCGAACTTTCAACATCACTCCTCAACTGCGGCACCCGACCACCAACCACCGAGAGAAAGATGTAACCCGATTTCGCCGTTGTCGGACCCAAAAGAACTGGTCGAAAATTGCAAGCACGAAATAGGCGACAAATTCAACTCTTACACCGACAACTTGATTGCCGGAGCTGCTCAAAAGGCGGCGGCATCTCGCCCCTCCTTCTTGTTGGTGAGGACCTCACACGCGACAAGGAAGAATAAAGGTGACTCCGGTGCCAGCACCAACTAATTTAGAGAAGCATAGAGGTGCAAACAATTTCAAATCTAGTTTTTTTTTTTTCTTTTTTTTTTTTGTGAGAGAGAAATTGTCAATTTTCCATTCCAAATGAAAATGTCAAATGCTTCTTTCAAATTATTTTGAAATAGCTATAAATCATTTTTCAACAAGAAAATAGTATTTATGTCGGCTAAATTTTTATTATTTCAATACGGGAGCATCCAAAACAATATCCTATTATAAAAAGAACAGTGGAAAATTCAATCTTCTCTTTTCATCTTTTCCGGTAAAATGGAGCCACCAGTCAACGACCGTGGCTGCCTACAGCTCAAATCCACACCTTCTCCACAAAATCCCTAAATTTTTCAGCTGCCCATTCGAAATTCCCATAAATATGCTCCCTACAGTACTTGTCCTACTGTTCCTGCAGTTGCTCCGTCCCTCTTCAGCCGTTGACTTCCTCTACACCTCCTTCACCGACGCCGGCGGCGGCGGCGGCGCCGGAGCCGCCCGCCCCTCCAACATAACCCTCACCAACGACGCCCGTATCGAGCCGCCAGTCGTCCGCCTCACGAACGACTCGAACCAGTTCTCGATTGGCCGCGCCTTCTACCCCGCCCGGATCCCCTTCAAACCCTCGCCCGACTCCACCAACGTGACGGCGTCGTTTTCCACCCAGTTCATCTTCTCGATCCTGCCCGACATTGCCACCAGCCCGGGCTTCGGCCTCGCCTTCGTCATCTCCAACTGGACCTCCCCGCCCAACGCCCTCGCCGGCCAGTACTTCGGCCTCTTCTCGAACGGGACCGCCGCGGGCCCGCTCGTGGCCGTCGAATTCGATACTGGCCGGAACCCGGAGTTCAACGACCCGGACGGCAACCACGTCGGCGTAGATCTCAACAGCGTCGTCTCCGCCATGATCCAGACCGCCGGGTACTACAACTCATCCGGCGACGGGGGCGCCACTTCTACATTTGTCCCCCTCGACATGAGAAACGGGCAGAACATCCACGCCTGGATCGAGTTCGACGGCCCGGGGAGCGAGATCAACGTCACCATCGCTCCTGCAGGCATGGCCCGGCCCGCCAGGACCATGCTATCCTACCGGATCCCCGACATCTCCAGCTACTTCGATCAGGAGATGTTCGTTGGGTTCTCAGCGTCGAAAACCCAATGGGTCGAGGCCCAGCGGGTGCTCGCCTGGAGTTTTAGCAACATCGGGCCAGCGAGGAACCTCAACACCACGGGCCTGCCTGTTTTCCGGCCTGAGAACTCGGGCTCCCCTGGTTTGGCCCAAGGAGCGATTGCTGGGATTGTAGTTGGTTGTGTGGCAGGCCTCTCGGTTGCATCTTGTCTAATTTACTGGTTTTGGTGGAGAAGAAGAAAACTGAGGGAGGAGGAAGAAGATGACGAAATAGAAGAATGGGAAATGGAGTATTGGCCTCATAGATTTTCTTACGAGGAGCTCCACACGGCCACAAATGGTTTTTCGGAAAATGAGCTTCTCGGGTCAGGCGGGTTCGGAAAAGTCTACAAGGGAACATTATCGAATAACTCCGAAGTTGCAGTCAAATGCGTCAACCACGACTCGAAACAAGGATTACGCGAATTCATGGCTGAGATCTCGAGCATCGGCCGATTGCAGCACAAGAATTTAGTCCCGATGCGCGGCTGGTGTAGAAAAGGGAACGAGCTAATGCTTGTATACGACTACATGCCCAACGGCAGCCTAAACCGGTGGATTTTCGAGCGGCCCAAGTCCCTCATGAACTGGGAGGGTCGAAAAAGGGTCTTAACCGACGTGGCCGAGGGTTTGAATTACCTTCACAACGGGTGGGACCAAGTTGTCGTGCACCGGGACATTAAATCGAGCAATGTGTTGTTAGATAATGATATGAGGGGTAGATTGGGAGATTTCGGGCTCGCAAAACTGTACACTCACGGCGAAACTCCAAACACAACTCGGGTCGTGGGCACGCTCGGTTATTTGGCGCCTGAGGTGGTGACTTTAGCATCACCCACCACGGCTAGTGATGTGTACAGCTTTGGCGTGGTGGTTTTGGAGGTGGCGTGTGGCCGGAGGCCGCTGGAGACGAAGGTGGAGAGGGAGGATGAGGAGGTGCTTATCGACTGGGTAAGGGATATGTATTTGGAGGGAAAGTTGGCTGAGGTGGCAGATAAGAGGATTAAAGGGGAGTATGAAGTGGAGGAGATAGAGGCTGTTTTGAAGCTGGGGCTGAGCTGCTGCCACCCGGATCCGGCCCGTAGGCCCAACATGAGGGATGTGACAGCTGTGTTGTTGGGGGAAAGGGCGGAGATGGCGCCAAAGGAGATGCTGTCTGGGTTGACGCCGGTGGGGAGTGGTGAACAGGAGAAAGTGTTCTTGGAGAAAGAGGTGTGAATATTTATTTCTTTATTATGATTATTATTANCAGTTTGTTTCTTCTGGATATGAGTTTGTAGTTCTGGTTTGTTTGGATTATAGATGTATACGACCAGTCTTTGTTGTGGGAATTTTACCATTTTTTGTTTGTATTATGAGTCTTGCTATAGTGTAATGTGAAAAATTTGGGTTCTTTCTAATAACAAAGCGCCTGATTTGGTTTCCTCATCAAATTTTTTGGTTGCTGTAGGAGAATCTAGTGATTCTTGAAATTGTCCCTTTCATTTATCTGATGCTCAAAAGGTGGAGAGTGGCATTTCTTCACTTCATGGGAAATGTAGCTCGTGTGACATAGATATCTGAGCAGAAGCTTTGCTTATTGTACTAAAGTGTGAAATTTAGAGAGTGAAAATTGAAGTTTGATCTATTTCCCTTGGCATTCCTTTTTGAAAGCAGACCTTGGCTGCAGGCTGTAGCCAGAGATCTTTCATTGATTCGGTCCCACAGACGAGCACTCCTATATCGGATCCCCCACATTCACTTGTGAAATCAGACAATATATCTGTTTAGAATAGTCTCTGCTGATATTTTTTGATTATTTACAAAAGCACCCCTGACTTTTAGCTTATTTTTTGAAAATCCTTCTATCAAGTCTGGATTTATAAAATCTGTAATTAGGTATTTGTAACTACAGTTCTGTGTGATTATGCTAGGTATCAGGGTGGTTCTCATTATTATGACCAAAAGTTATATAAATAGTAGAAACTAACCGTGAAAGTTTGGTCTCCCTCCAAAATGAATTTCATGTTTGTCAAGATCTCCACTGCCGTCAGTGGAGCCCATTTTCTCGTGATTCCTTTGTGTATCGTAAAAAAATTGAAGCTCCTTCTTTACCTTTTTCCACCTAATCATAACAGCCAAGAAAGTGCCGATTGCCATAGCTATAGCATAAGAACACATGAGAAGGAGATCAACTTGTGAAGACGTGCTCTTTTGCCCCGAGGTTTTCTTGTCCGGTCGAATGACAAAACGGTTGAAGAAAACCAGCGAGATGACAAATATGATTGAGCAAACCATTGTGATCATTGCCATGAATACTAATCTTTCGGGTCCATTCGTTGCGTAACTAAACTTTGCAGTACTAAAATTTATCGTTCGAGTTGGACGGGTGTCATCGAGCACTTCTCTTTGCGTCGTGAAAAGTCGGTTCTCGCGAGTTACGTACATTTTGAGATTTGTGTGGTATTTTTCAACGTTTAGAAGCTGAGGAAGAATTGGTTCTAGTAGGCAGATGTCTTGGGATTTCTTTGTGGTGTATATGAGCTGTAGTTTATTTGGATACTCATTTTTGCTCAAGTTGAAACTTATTTCCTTCATGATGCTCAGAAATGGTGTTATCCCAATGCCTCCAGCAACCATGAGTAGATTGTCATGCCTGATAATAAATACAAGAAAAAAGGACTTTATTACATGATATACCCCTGAAATTTATTTGCAAACAGAACCCAGATTTCTTACTTCTGAGATTTTCAGGAACAAGTAGTTTTTTTTTTTGTTTTTTTTGTTTTTTTTTTCTTTTTCTGTGATTCATTAAACTTTGGGGAAGGCTTTACATTACCTTAGAAATTCAAATGAATCAGGCCCGTATGGACCTCCAATTGCAACTGAAATACGCATCCTTTGATCTGCTTCTGAATCTTGATCATCACCAGTAATTTGGTCATGGAGTGAGTTGGTCCATTGGCCTCCACTCTTTACGATGACCGTGATTGTGTTATGATCTGTGCTTGAGCTTGAGGTTATGCTGAATGGATGCCATTGAAGCTTGGAAATGCTTGGTATCTTCAAGAAGATCAAACTTGTTGGTCTGTATTTCAAATCTGGAAAACCGTGGATTACTTTAAATGTCTACGTAAATCGGTACGTCTATTTTGCCTAATCTGCAACAATAACATAAAGGATGAGAAACTTAACTTGGATCCTTTGGCAACCTCAGCTCAACGGCTCCGCATGGGAAAACACGAGCTGATAGAATGCATGTTTTTGGCCTTGACTGCAGAATTCGGAGGAGCTGTCGAGTGCAAAGAGAAAAACTCCAGGAAAAACCGTGTAAAAATGGCGGTCACCTCCATGGAACAAGAATACCAGGAAGACTATGTAAAGATGGTGCGTGTAGTAAAAGAGTCGAAAGCATCTTCTCCTAATCTGTGGTAAGGCCGTGAGCCAAATGATTAGTGCTGTAATAAGAGCCATTTCCCCTACAAGGTATATTCGACCCTTTTTCTGCCATCTCCACATCTGTTTTTTTAACATCAAATTGAATAAAATTTAAAAAAGAAAAAAATGTTGCTATTTTATTTGTGCGAAAATGCTCTTAGTGAGTTGACATGCTGATTGAAATAGAAGTTCATTAAGCGTTACCTCATTGTAAATTTGACGTTTTAGTCCCCAGATAAAGAACGTGCCTGCACCATGTAGAGTGGCGAAAAATATCATTGCGTTTGCGAGCCAAATGTGGTATCTTACTGAAGCTTCAAATTGGATCCTAAGTAATCTTAAAACGGACAATCCTCTTAAGACGGGCAAAAGAAGCAGAGCTAGACAAGCTTCTGATAACAAGCCACACCTTGTAGCGATCCTCAACAGCTTGTATTGCCATCTGCAACATATAATTTACTGCTAATTACAAAAACCACCACACAAGTTTAGCTTAGTTGCAGAAGAACCCCAAATTTGGTAGACAAATAAGCTAGCTTATAGCTTATTTGGTTAACTTATTTTACTAAACACTTTTATCATATAAGCTAGCTTTTCAGCCATAAGTCATAAGCTATAAGCTATAAGCTCGAAAATTACTGATAAGCTATCAGCTAGCTTATCAGGTAGTTTTACCAAACATAGCCTTACAGACTCAATTTGAATGATTTGATTGGTGTCATCTTGTTGAAGTCATTAGAAACACGGACATAAAAGGTCCAAACGAGCAGGGCCACGAAAAGGACGAAGCAAGAATCTGTGCTCCAGACAAAATGCCAATAAGCTGATTCACAACTAGTGGGCTAGAGAGAGAGGTGAATACATTTCTTGATCTTTGCCTGAAATAAAAAGTGTAAGAAAATGGTGATTCTTACAATTTACATGGATTGAAAGGGCTGATTTGTGTTACTTGCTGTCTTATAAAATTCTTTACCTGGTTCTTGGTTTTCTTGATTTAAGGTCCAAGTATATGAAGCCGATTATAGCCAAGGCAATCACAGGAAAGGTGTATACAGCAAAATCGAGACCTATTGCAACAGTATCAGAACAGTAAGCAACAGAATTTTCTGAAATCTTCTTGGAACCTTATTATGTTTAGGACTAATTACAGAAGCACCCCTAGATTCAACATAATAAAAAGTCCCAGATATCTTTATAATATTACAAATACCCCCCTGAAGTATTAGATGCAGTTTATTTAGCAGGTAACCTAACGGTGTGTCCAATGTGTAAAAATACAAGGACTTATTCTGAATATTGAAAAATAAGGTCTCTTTGCATTTAAGCAAAAAATGGAGGTTAGTTTTTGTGATTAATTATTGTACTCAGAGAAGAATACCAAAACTTCTGCTTGTACATACAGAAAACATTGAAAATGTTAATCATCTCATCGTTTCAGTTTTACATCGAACTTCTTATGAATGCTGAATGTCACGTATACAAAAACGACACATGTTAATAATACTTATACACTAATAAATATTAGTTATGGTATCAAATTATTACCATTATAGCCGAATATGGAAGACGATGCCTTTTCCTCTGCTTCCTTCCATTTCTTTGTCCAGATATCAGTTGGTTTTAGAACCCAAATGGAAACCCAACCAGCAAATATCAAAATCAGAACTATCTTGAGCATTGAAAGGAAAACCATAGT